GATCTATCTGAGTAAATGTAAACAAACTGCTAATTTGCATATTGCAAGTCAAAAAATCGTGATATTTGATCGCTGCTATCGCACTACCAGTGTAAAAACCCAGAAATATTTTTCTAAATCGGTTTATATTGATATTTCAACCTTATTCAGGGTGAGTTTCGTAAATATTGGAGAATGGCCACATGGAGAAAAATGTGTTCGGAAATTTCAACTCAAATCAAGCTTTGAAAACCGGCCAAGAAAAAGTCATTTTTCCTCCCCGTTAAAAATACATTGAAAAGCCAAAACCGATTCCGGGCAACTCCTTAGAATGTATTCTTTCGGATTCTGTAAAAAAATTGCGCAAAAATATTTAAATTGATTGAAGAAATAACTTTCAAAAAGTTGTAAGTTTCAGCGGTCTCATATGCTAATTTTAGACCAAATCAGGGTAAAACCAATTTTGCTCAAAAACTCAAATTTTTCAACGTAGATCAAAAAACCGATTAGACCACGTTAGTARRCTYACAGAAAGGTGTCCAGAAACTAAGTTTCAAGGAATTTGAATTTTTCACTGTGGCCGGCCTATGCTCGATATTTCTGGACAGTCGCTCTTAATCTCTAAAGCAGCAATGAAATTTGTGATTTGTGTTTGTAGGGTGATTCTCTACCTTGCTACGAGAGTTTTTTCCCTTGGTCAATAACTAGCTATGAGAAGTGTCATATCTATGCTAAAATAGTCAATTTTCAGGTAGTGAGTGGGTTTGAGTCTTCCTGACTACGGGAACAAAGTAGAAGGACATTTGGTTAAAACAGTCGAGAGTTTAAAAAAGAGTTTTTTTGTCTCTTTTAAAAAAGTTTAAAAAAGGGAACATGCCCGGTGGTAATGAATATCACCGACAACGCATCCCCGATTACACAGTTCTTATACGACAAGTGCATGTGTGCAATGCTGTAAGGCTGCGCAGAAATGCATTGATCTTTTAAAAGCAAAAAAATGCTGAGTTTCATTTAATTTCATTGCTTCTAATTTCTTTGTTTGTTATCAAATTTGGTGCTCTTTGATCGAAAAAATAACAAACAGGCAAAAGGTTACAAAATACATATTAATCGATTGTTGTATCTAACAAACACAGCGAGCCTTCGGTGAGGCTTCCTGAAGGACTAGAATTGAAAACTTTTAATCAAAATTGTTAAGTTATAATAGGAAACTTATCTTTTACATGTTATTATTATGAATTGTACCGCTTTCGTCATTGGTTGACATGGTTACATCAAATAATGACGTGCAAAAGCAATCATCATAGCCAAGGCAATCAGGACTGACATGGACTTGAGACCACAGGAAGCGTTACAGAGGTCACCTTTACAACATCCAAAGTAATCGCAGCCCAATTTATCGCAAGCCGTTTTCGCCAAAGTACAGCCCAGTTCACTAGCGCAAGCCTTTCCAACTCCTTTCTTATTTTTACCGACCACCTTAGAGCAACGATCCGATGATGCATCACATGACATCTCTTTACCTTTGCAGCTACTCTCACTAGTGCTTTGACACACATAGCACTTTATCGAAACAACTAAATGGAAAAACGTGATTTGTTAGAAAAGTAAAGGATATCAATAAATAATTGAACAAAACAGGTTCGGCGGTAATAAACTCGACGACAGCAATATTCTTCCAATCTGAGATGAATCAACTGGATTGGTTGAGAGAATAGTCGAAAAGGTAATTCTTACTTTAAATTTACTTCTAGAACTCATTAATAATTCATGAGCTATTAGTCCAATGAGCATCGAACTATTGGGTCACATGATGGGCCTTTATATCCCGATAAAGCACTGATGTTTTATTAATCGGTTCTATATCAGATATAAAGAATTGATGTTTTATTAATCAGTTATATAGCAGATATAAAGAACTGATGTTGAAGGTCATCAGCGCTTTATCGCAACCCAACACTAGCAAAGATCTCAGTTTTAATGTCGCTTTATAGACCTTTTCTAGGTTTTAAATCAGGTTGAATCAATGTGCAGACATGCAGTATAGAATAGACTAGACGTTCTTACGTGTGGGATCAAAATTCTTTGAATTGTGGCAAATGCACATGCTCAGTAGAAGTTTAATATACATTATCACTGTTCTCGCATTTTTTAGCTTTTTTTCTAAAATGATAACGATTTCTGGATGTTAAAGTTCTAGAAGTAGTATAAAGAAAGAAAGAGTGTGTTTTATCGGGTGATAAAGATCCGATCATTCGATTTTCTCAACGACTCAACGGTCTCAATGGCTAATCATCTTATTCTGTCAATCATTTCCATGCTATTTGTTTTCCGCAATCAGTGTGTGTGACTTTTTGGTTAACAAAGAATTTACTATAGCAAACTTTGCTTTAGAATAGTTTTCATTCAACGAAAAAAAGGATATATGTAGTTAGTATTTGTTGGTAAAAAGTAAGAGAAAACATTGGACTCAGAGTGGGATATAAACGCTATACAGTTTTGTGGAAGGCAGTAGATCTTTCTGCGAAAAATCCCTTTTCTACTTAGTCATGCATTGATTCACGATATTGTATTCGCCGGAATACTCCAATTTCGAAACTGGAGTATTGTGCTGAAACAAAGGACTAGACTTCATGTATTTGTAGAAGTTTTGAAAAGTAACGGTTTCCGCAAATCACTCAGTACACTCTGACCACCTATAAGATTGTCAGCACTCCGCAATTAGTTGAAAACCCGGCAACCCCAGGGACGGTGAGGAACAGTATCACTTCAGAACGTTTAAATAAAATGAAATGATATGTCTAGTTTCGAAAGTATAATAGTCCTTTTACATCACTGATCTTATTCCACAAAAACGGAATGGAGTTCCAAAAAGTTACATCATGAAAACTAAGACCGTAAGTAAACATGAAAAAGCAAACGATCACGATTATAACAGTATTTTAGAATCAAAAGAT